TTCATTAACACATTATTCAGGAGCATATTGTTTGATTTCCACATCTTTGTAATGTTTCCAAGGTTCCTCTTGTTATTTATTTGTAGTTTTATATCATTGTGGTCAGAAAAGATACTTGATATAGTTTCAGTCTTCTTAAATTTGTTAAGACTTGTTTTGTGGCCTAACACATGATCTGTCTTGGAGAGGTGTTCATGTGCAGGTGAGAACAATGTGTATGCTATAGCAGTTGGATGAAATGTTCTGTAAATCTCTCAAGTCCATTTTATCCAGAATCCAGGTTAAATCTGATGTTCCTTTATTGGTTTTCTATCAGATGATATGCTCATTACTGAAAATAGGTTGTTGAAGCCCCCTACTATTATTGTACTACAGTCTCTCTCTGTTTAGATCTATTAATATTTGCTTTATATATTTATGTGCACTGAGATTAGGTTTATATATATTTACAATTGTCATATTGTCTTATTGAATTGACCCCTTTATTACTAAATAATACCTTCTTTGTCTCCTTTTAGAGTTTTTGACTTATAATCTGTTTTATCTAGGTATAGCTACTCCTGCTCTCTTTTGGTTTCTCTTTTTATGTATCTTTTTTTTTTCCTTACATTCAATATATTTGTGTCCTTACTGGTGAAATGAGTCTCTTATAAGCAGCATATAGTTGAGTCTTTTTAAAAAAAGTTTATTCAACTATTCTGTGTTTTTTAGTTGGAGAATTTAGACCATCTTTAGTCACTGTTACTCTTGATATATAGGGCCTTGATTACAGCTGCTGTTACTCATTTTCTGGTTGTTTTGTAACCCTTCTCTTCCTTTTTTTCCTTTGTTACTGTTGGCTTTGTCTTCCTTTGTGGTTATTTTCTCTGGTAGTATATTTTAATTCCTTGCCTTTTATTTTTAGTGTGTCTATTACAGGATTTTTCTTTGTGCTGTCATGAGGCTTATAAAAAATAATTATAACAGATTATTTCAGGCTGATAACAGCTTAACTTTGATCACAGACACACAAACACTCTACACTTTAAAGTGTTTTAAAGTTAAAGTGTATTTTATTTTACATTTCACTAATGACAAGTGAGGCTTATCATCTCTGCATGTTATTGACTGTTTATATTGCCTTTTCTATTAATTGCCTGTTTATAGTCTTTGCTCATTTTTTCCATTTGAGTCTCTTTTTTGGCAAAAGTAGTTTATCTGTTATTTATTGAAATCTATTATATACATTGCAATACCTTCTCCTACTCTGGGGCCTGTCTTTTTAGCTTATTTGTGGTTAATTTTTAATGCATAGAAGTGATCATTATTGATATTTTCAGATGTTTCAGTCTTCTCCTTGATGGTTTGTATGTTATTTTTACCTGTATTAAGATATAATTAATATAAAATAAATAGCACATATTTATAAAGTGTTTGATAAGTTTTGACATACTAGTTATATGTATGCTAGTCAAACCATTGACACAATTAATATAACAACATGTTTATCACCCCCAAGAGTTTCTTCATTCCTGTTTGTTATATTTCTTTACCTCTTTTTCTTGCCCTCAAAGTCCCAGGCAACCACTAATCTGCTGTCAATCTTCCATATCCTAACTGATTTGCAGTCTACCTTCTCTATCAATTATTGAGAGAAGGGTGTTGATGTCTGCCTTTAATTTTGTATTTATCTGTTCATACTTTCAGTGCCATCAGTTTGGCTTTTTGTTGTTGTTGTTTGTTTATTCATTTTAGAGATGAGGGGCCTCACTATGTTGCTCAGCTGGAGTGCAGTGGCTGTAAATAGACTTGATCATAGTATACTGCAGTCTTGAACTCCTGGCTCCTGGCCTCAAGTGATCCTCCTGGTGTCAGCCTCCCAAGAAGCTGGGTCTATAAGCACATGACCCAGTGCCTGGCTCTAGTTTTTGCTTCACATATTTTGAAACTCTCCTATTAAGTATACACATTTTTAGGATTATTAATATTACTTGGTGAATTGACCCTCTTATCATTACATAATTGACTCTCTTTATCCATGTGAATTTGTTTTTTGCTTTGAAGTCTACATAGCCTGATATTTATACAGACACTCCAGTTTTCTTCTGATTTTCTTTTTAATGATATCTTTTCCTATACTGTTACTTTTAACCTCCTTATATCATTATATTTAAAATGGGGTTCCTTAGAACTTAACGATAAATTTAAATAATAAAAAATAAAATAAAATAAAATAGGATTCTTGTAGATCTTGTTTTTGATACAGTATGACAGCCTCTGTCTTTTAATTATTGCATTTTAGATTATTTATATTTAATGTTTGATATGTTTGGATTTAGGCCTACTATTTTATTTGTGTTTTTCTTATTTTTTCATCTTTTTTATGTTCTTCTTACCCCCTTGCTTGCCTTCTTTTTGGATTATTTGAAAATTTTTTAGTATAGTTAGTTTGAGTTAATCTTTTGGGTTAACAATATTTCTTTGTATATCTTTATTCTACTAGTGGCTGTAGGTATTGTAATATACATACTTAGCTTGTTACAGACTATTAAGAATTTATATTTTACCACTTTCAGTGGAATATAGATAGATATCTTACCACCATATAGGTCTCTCCTAACTTTATGTTGTCATGTCCTATATGTTATGTCTATACACATAGAAAATTCCACCAGACATTGTTTTGATTTTTTGGTAACTATCATACATAAAGAACTTACAAGGAGAAAACATTATATATTTCCAGATAGTAACTATTTCTGTTGGTCTTTTTAAATGTTTTTTAGTTCCTTTGGTGTCATTTCTTTCCCCCCTGAAGAATAAAATGTCTTTTGGAGCAGGTCTTTCTACTTCTATGAGGTCAACTTTTTCTGGCTTCCACATAAGAGTAAGAACATGCGGTGTTCAACTTTCTGTTCTTGGCTTATTTCACTTAACATAATGTCATCCAGTTCTATCCATGTTGCCTCAAATGTCAGGATTTCATCCTTTCTACCTTTTTAAAGGCTATTACAAAATTTTAAATTACACATGACTTGCATTTGTTATTCACACTATATTTCTGTTGGACAGTATGGATGCAGTTAGTAAGCATGTATCTCCCTTAGTTGATGTGCCAGGTTTTACTTGTGAGACATCTGATTCTATTCTGATTCTCATGCCTTTGTAAGGAACCAGGAAGATTTTTTTCCTGAAAATCTTTAGGAGTTTTTTATCCTTGTTATTCTGAAATTTCATAAGTATACACTGAAAATGTGGGTAGTGTTTGGTTTAGTATGCTTAGAACACTTGGTAAGGTCTTTTAGTTTGTCTCTCTTCAGTTCTGAGAAAGTTTCTGCTAGTATTTTTTGGATTATTTTATCACTATTTCTGAATGAGAAAGGTCCTGTAGGATACTAAATCTCTTGGGTTGAGTCTCTGTTTTCTATAATTCTGTCTTATATTTTCTATTTTCTATCCCGCTGTCTTTTGGCAGTAGTTTGGGAGGTTACCTTATCCTTATCTTTTGACAGCATATTAAAAAATAGAGCTGGGCACAGTGGCTCAGGCCTGTAATACCAGCATTTTGGGAGGCTGAGGCAGGTGGATCACCTGAGCTAGACCTGACCTAGTAGCCTGGCCAACATGGCGAAACCCCATCTTTACTAAAGACTCAAAAGTCAGATGGGTATCATGGCACATGCCTGTAATCCCAGCTACTCAGGTGGCTGAGGCAGGACACTTACTTGAATCTGGGAGGTGGAGGTTTCAGTGAGATGAGATCATGCCACTGCACTACAGCCTGTGTGACAGCAAGACTCTGTCTCAAAAAAAATAAGTAAAATATAAAATAGGGGAGATGAGATAGGCAATCGAAGTTTTAATTGTCTGGAACTTTTTTTCGTTCTCTGTTCTTTTATCAGAAGCCTGTTCTGTTAAATATCAGCCTTTATGTCTGTCAGGTTGCAAATTAAAATGGTTTTTAACAATTCTTTCTGTATCATGAATTATCTGTTTCTTTTACAATCAATGGTTTAATTTGTTTAGGACTGACTTCTGGAAGATGAGTCACATTTTAGATAAGAATAATGTATAACCAAATGTGTAGAAGTAGAAATGCAAAAAGCTTTTTCTGGGCGCAATGATAATCTGATGATTGCAATACTGTGGGCATAGTGAGGTAAGGGCCTGAACTAGTGACAACTGAAAGAAAAGAACTGAATAATTATGCAAGAAAATAAGTGTAACTGGGTGCTAATTTCTCCACTTTCAAATCTCCCACAGCACCCTGTTATTGAACTAATTGTATGCTCCGTTGTAATGTTAATTATTATATCCATATGTCTTTCTAACTAAATTGTGACTTTTCAAGGCAAGGACTGTATCTTATTCATTCATTCTTTTACAGATAGTTATTGATCAAGCCCTGTTTCAAATGCTGGGGATAAAGCTGTGTGCAAAGACAAAAATATTCCTGCCCTCAATGCCAAGGAATATATTCACTTAATTTTTATCAGTGCATGGAATCCAAAGCTGGGTATTCCCAATTAAATATCTAATATGGGACCCAACTTTAAAAGGTAGTATTAAGATGGTCTGTTTGTGTCTGTTTAGGTGTATTGCAACAGGTTTTTTTGGTATTGAATAATTTTCTTTGAACTTGATATAAAAAATTACTATGCATTCAGATTAAACTAATATTTCTTACCTTAATGAAACGTAATATACCACCTTGATACAATGAAAAGAGCACCACCCTGGGAGGAGTCAGGAGTTCTAATTGGACTCTACTATTGAATAAGCTGTCACACTTTTACCTTCTTAGAGCCTTTCTTTTCTGATATGTAAAATAAAAGGGTTGATATCTCTTAGCACTCACACTTTGAATCTGAAAGTGGGGCAAAACATTCTTTCTTGTGGCCTTTGAATAAATGTTTTATTCTTTTAATTGAATGACTAGAAACAAAACCAAGAACTGTCATTTTATATATTTCACTTGAGTTATAATCAGTGGCTAAATGTTTTTTCCTTTTCCTTTGCAGACTTGGGTCTGGATCAATATATAATAAAACGTTTTGATGGAAAGGTAAGCAAACTATGACACTTTTATATGTATATCCTATTATTTTACTAAGAAGATTTTTAAGTCTCTCTACAGTTACATGTGAGAAATCACTGAATACCTATTTATCTTATCAAAAGAGCATGCTTAGGGTAGGAGATCTGTACCTTCATATGCCTCTACTGAAAGAATCAAGCAGAAGGTTCTATATTTTTCTATGTAAGGTAACTCTCATGTAGTGCCTACTGTATATATTAAGGTCTAATTTTGTGTTTGTTGACTTTTTAGTGTTAACTCAATAGCTATCATAAAGATTAATAAGCCCCCCAATGTTGTATTGGCATTTCTTACAAAATGCTTCCCTGATTTTGACCTTCCTCAGACTTTAAGATACTGTCTCGCAATAATGTTTTTTTTTTTTTTTTTTTTGAGATGCAGTCTCGCTCTGTACCCCAGGCTAGAATACAGTGGTGCAATCTTGGCTCACTGCAACCTCTGTCTCCCTGGTCCCAGTTCAAGCAATTCTCCTACCTCAACCTCCCAAGTAGCTGGGATTATAGGCATGAGCCACCATGCCCAGCTAATTTTTGTATTTTTTAGTACAGATGGGGTTGCACCATGTTGGCCAGTCTGGTCTTGAACTCCTGACCTCATGATCCGCCTGCCTCAGCCTCCCAAAGTGCTGGGATTACAGGCGTGAGCCACTGCACCTGGCCACAGTAATCTTAACCAGAAAATTATAAAGGTCCTTGTAGTGCTTTTGTAGTAATTATGAAGACAACTCCAAATTTGCCTATAAGTTTGCACTGTACTTATTTTCAATTATTTATACCTGAATAAATAATATAACAAATTATTCTTAGGTATAGAAAATGAGACTTTCAGTTTTATTATCTCATAAAGCAGTCAAATATGTTTTTTCCTTTCAGGCTAAATTCTCCAAAAAGAAAATATTACACAGGGTCAGAAAGAAAAGTAAAGGGTCAATTTTACACAGGATAAAGAAGGCACTTCAGAAAGAAGAAAGAGCCAGGCGTGGCTCTACAAAGCACAATGAACAGGAAGTCAGAAGGAAAATCATGGAGTGGCTGGAAAAGGCAGGATCACAAAAGAGGGTCTAGATGGGGAGAGGTCAGGGTTAGTAGAAAATGATCTTGCAGAAATGTGCCAATTCCTGCATTATTACATAAAACTCCATATCATGGAGAGATAAATGTTGAGCTCTTTTGTACAAGTGAAAAGAATGAGAAGCTGCCTTAAGACTTGAGAGATCTCAGCTAAAGTACCTGCCTAAAAATTACCTTTCCCATTAAGGTGGCACAGTGCCTAAAATGCCTCCATCTGTGAATATCCTCTTTTTAAAGTCACATATTCTAAAAGAATGATCAAAAAGGAAGGGCACTGAACTAGATTTTAGGAGACCTAGGCTCAAAGTCCTAACTCTGCTTTGGGACAGCTTCATCTTTTCTCTGATCCCTGGTGTCTTTGCTTTATCTATAATAAAGTACCCTATCCAGTGTAAGGACTTACTCCAGCACTTCTGATTTCAGAGTCTTTGGAGGGTCAGGTCCCTATCTTACCTGTTTTTGTGTCACTCAGAGTCCAGCATAGGCCTGGCACACAGGAGGCAAACAATAAGTATTTAATGACTTGCAAAAAATTGCAGTAGTCAATCACATATTCCTTGGTGGAGGTCTGGACTCGTTAAGTTAGTAAGAACTTACAGCCAATTCATTTTAACAAATAACTTTTTTTGGTCACTGAAAGAATCCATAGTAGCATGAGAGTTTGCTCCTCCCTTGTATACATATGTGTAAACCTGAAAACATACAAAGAAGTTGAATATGTGCAAGTTGAACAACAGATTAATGTGTTATAAGGGGATTTCCATTCTTAGAGATTTTTCAGATATAAAATCTGCAATGATAACTCATGTTTCCTGTATGCTCTTCAGTTTTTTCCTGTTGTGGCCCAGTAACTCTTTGGTCTACTTGATCCTAAGAATTGTCAGCTTTTGGGTGGGCGCAGTGGCTCACGCCTCTAATCCCAGCACTTTAGGAGGCCAAGGCAGGTGGATCATGAGGTCAGGAGTTCAAGACCAGCCTGGCCAACATGGTGAAACCCCATCTCTACTCAAAATTAGTCTGGCATGGTGTTGGGCCCCTATAATACCAGCTACTTGAGAGGCTGAGGTAGGAGAATCGCTTGAAACCGGAAGGTGGAGGTTGCAGTGAGCGGAAATCATGCCGCTGCACTTCAGCTTGGGCAAGAAGAGCGAAACTCTATCTCAAAAAAAAAAAAAAGAATTGGCAGCTTTTGGCATGACTGAAACAGCTTTGTCGTTGTTTCTGTTGTATTAAATCTATGAGCTCTACATTTCTTATCATTAGTATTTTTCTGCTTTTCATTTATTTTTATAAAATAGCAAGAATAAAATACAATAAAACATTTAAGTGTTTGAGTACCCACCTTGTGGTGACAAAAATGGCAGTGTTTTTGTGTTTGGAAGGCGGATTTAACAGGTTATGGTTGCAAATGAACTGTAAGCATTAATTTTAAAATTGGAATAGGAAAGGCAAGATTTAGGAATATCAGTGTATGTTTGAAAGTATGACTTGTATGAAAGGCATGCATGTGAATGTTGACTTTATGGTAAAGGAACATAGGTTCTGAAAGAGAAATTAAAGATTCACAGAAGGAGGTATAGAATTGACCCTGAGCAAGCCAGCTTGTGCCTTAGCAATGAGTGACGCTACATATTTCCCTTTTATCTACCTTATGATATGCACATTGAGTTCTTCATTTAAATCCTTTGTTAATTTCCCTCAAATACATTCTTGAGGTCTTTTTTTAGGCCAAGTTTAGGCTTCTTAAATAGGATCTTTTTTTATGGTTTATATCTTTACAGATTTATGTCTTTACAAATTATTGCAAGTGAAATTTAAGAAAGTAGTTTCTATACTTGTTTAAAACCTTATGTAGACTGGGCACAGTGGCTCATGCCTATAATCCCAGCACTTTGGGAGGCTGAGGCAGGCAGATCACCTGAGATCAGGAGTTTGAGACCAACCTGGTCAACATGGTGAAACCCCATCTCTACTAAAAAATACAAAAATTAGCCTGGTGTGCTGGCAGGTGGCTGTAGTCCCAACTACTTGGGAGGCTGAGGCAGGAGAATCACTTGAACTCGGGAGGCGGAAGTTGCAATGAGCCTAGATCACAACACTGAACTCCAGCCTGGCAACAGAGTGAGACTCTGTCTCAAAAAAAAAAAAAGGAAAAAATAAATAAAACCTTATGTAATGAAGAGTGCCAGATTCATTTAGTGTTTGATCAGTTTAAAAGTTTTTCATGGTTTTTTGTTATGTATGAAGTCTTTCCCTTGATAATTGTAACTGTCAGTACTTTCTTAACTGTCGGTCTTCTCATTTTTCTTTAGATCTTCATGACTCTTTTGTTCTCTCATTCAGAAAATCTTAATTTTTAAGTAGCTGGTTCTAGAACATACAAATTCTAAGACAATTTTCTGTTAAAAAAAATAGATTCGTGTGGTAATGATATTATAGTACATTTTATGCATTATGGCCAGAAATGTAGTTAGAAAGCTAGACATCCAAGAGGAATTTCCTTTTAGACTTGCTTTGATTTTTAAATGGGTAATTTTCTCCCTCTCCTTTTTTTTTTTTAATTTGGAAGATAAACTAGCTATTAAATGCTTAGAGAAAGAATTATTTACTCCTATTATCTTAGCCCCCATTAATCTTAACCTTTAGCACACCATTTAACAAAGTCCAAAATTTGACCAGTAACAAACACTAGCTTATTTTATAGCCTTCTGATTGAATTAAATGTCAACCTTTTTGTCATTGAAAGTAAGAAAAAAATGTAAAAATAATATTATTTTCCTGGGATGTTTTAAATTTGTACCTGAGTAATGGAACCTCCAGATGCAAAATAGGCAATAGTGTCCCAACTCTTATTGACAGATAATTGTGCTTTGCTAAAATCTTTTTTTTCCTCCTGATCTGTCTAATTAACTACAAGATTCCCTGTAAGAAGTAAATGAGGAAAAAAAAAAAGAAGTAAATGAGACATTATATTTCAGCTGATTTTCAATGAAAACTGAATTTGATTTTTGAATTCAAGCTTTTGAATTTGTAGGTGAATCTTTTTCCAGACCCCATTATTACTTTATGTTAATGGACACTAATTATTTTAGAATACTGGCAACTTCCCTTGTAGAAAAGTTATGAAATACATTATTATTGGCATTTGCATGGTGGGTTGCATTTCCAAACCATCTACTGTCATAGGCCTTGTATAAAGAATGGTAACAGCTATGGTTACCATTGGTTTTAAGAATATGTTTCATAGATAAATGATATTATTTTTTAAATATGAGACTAGATTTGAAAGTTTAAAATTTCAAATCTTTTTCGAGTTTGAATTTTCTCTTAGGAGACATTTGAAAAGTATTATTATAAATAGCTTATTAGCATTATTATAGAGATGGTAATACAAAATATGTTCTGACTTATTATTGTTATTATTTTGAGAAGGAGTTTCGCTTTTGTCACCCAGGGTGGAGTGCAATGGTGTGATCTCAGCCCACTGCAACCTTCACCTCCCAGGTTCAAGCGATTCTCCTGCCTCAGCCTTCCAAGTAGCTGGAATTACTGGCGTCTGCTACCACACCCAACTAATTTTTTGTAGTTTTAGTAGAGACAGGGTTTCACCATGTTGGCCAGGCTGGGCTCGAACTCCTGACCTCAGGTGATCCACCCGCTTTCCCAAAGTGTTGGGATTACAGGCTTGAGCCACCACCCCGGCCAGCTTTTGTTTTAATGTAGTATGTCATGGATTCTTTTAAACGCACCTTCCTGTGTTGAATCCTTCTTGCAAAAAAAAAAAAAAAAAAAAAAAAAAAAAAAAAAAAAAAAAAAAAACACGCACCTTCCCCTAGTATCCATGTATTTATTTTACTAATGATTTGTCAATATAGTCATTTCATGAATTTTGGATTA